ACGTACGAAAGGTACTCCCCGAAATATTGCTGCGCCGAATCCCTGTAGAGTACATCTTGTAGCGAAATTCTATGATCCGTGGTCTCTAGTCCTGACTTACTACTCAACCATGTCGCTTTAAATGTCAGCATCAATCGTGCGCATGAGCCCCCATCCACTCGCAAAGCGCCAGGTCAGTGTGTTGGGTGTTGTGTTGCTTGCTGGTCACACGGTATGATAACTTGAGTACCGTCTTAAGGGACGTTGTACCGGTTCTATTCGTGTTCTCTTTTCGAGCAATGAGTTCGCCTACTTCGTCCGTGTTCTTGATGACATGCTCAAAAGTCCTCAGCTCTAGTATGTTATACCGCAGCCTACAAATACAGAACGATGCGCTGCATATAGGCGAGATTCAGCGAGGATTGGCTGAGGGGAGAAGCCAACGCCGCACAGTCAACTGGGCGCGGCTCGGGCTCAAGCCAATACCCGAGGCATGGGCGAGGTGTGCATCAGCGCGTCGAGCGTTTACCTTCGGCACTCATCGTATCAATCCCCGCATGTTACGCGCACAAGACATGATTTATAGAAGAATGGTCACCATAGAATTCTATTGTACAATCTCTACTCGCACGTAGGAGATACAGGCGGGAAGGTGCTCAGCGATCCTACTATCATGGTTGACAATCTTGAGCATGGTCTCTGGGCGAGGAATGGGTTCCTCGAATTGGTCCCCTCATAGACCCTTCAGCCCAGTGCAATGCGGGTCATAGACAACGTAGTACTGAGACTCCGCGTTCATGACGCAGCGAACGTGATCGACAACAAAGCTCGTACGGGGCTCTGAACATGTTCCGCTAGCATGATCATGTTCTCGAACCCGCAGTGAACATGCTCGAGAACGAAGCTCGTACCGGGCTCTGAACATGTTACCTTGGCGCAAACATGTTTGCGCTCGGACACGCAGTGAGACACGCAGTAATCATGATGAACAACGGAGCTCCGAGTCACTGCGGGGCTCTGAACAGCTCTGAACATGTTGACGCACCAGGTACTTAGCAGTCGAACATGTTTGCGCTCAAACACGCAGTGAGCATGTTCGACAACAGAGTTCGTACTGGGCTCTGAACATGTTGCGC